TATTAATATGAATACTAAGGATGAATCAAACACACCTACTCCCAACACAGTTTCCTAACACCTTCTCCAACAAACAGACACACTTTAAATCTATCATGTTCAACACCTCTAACCCTTTTTTTCTTCACAAATTAGTGTAAGCCTCTCTAACCTAAATTCAGATTACTCTTCCATTCCCACCCAGATTCCAGAAGACAAAGCCCAATACTCACAGTGAACTTTATTTGGATTTGTCTGTTTCCGACGGGACATGTTTCCCTGATCCAAGAGCTCTGGCCTTTCCCAGTTTCACAACTGGATATGTTACTACCTCCTTGCAGGGTGCTGACCTACAATGAAAAGGATATTGTTAGCACATGTCATTTTGCCTAGATATCATACAAAGTAACACATAAAAAGATTTTAAAAAATAGTTCTTAAGTGTATCAAACTCACCAGTTATAAATAACTGAATTAAAAAAATTAATAAATCTCTGGCACATCAAGTTCCCACGAAGTTTAAGAAGGGACTCCTTTAAAGGATTTAGAAATTCCACTCTAAAACTACCTATGGAATCCAGACTACTATTATGCGATCGTGATCAGGATAAAAAAGGAAGCCAATAACACGGGCAATCAGCGTTAGTAGTGCCATGGGCTCAAAGGAATAACACACACACACACACACACACACACACACCCCCCCCGTGAACTGTAAAAGGAAGCAACAAAAGCTAAAGAGGGTGGCAGCTCACATGCCCGCTGGAAGTCAAGCCCTGCAATCCTCCCCAAGGGGAGCCTCCAGGTGTTACCTCCCCTGGAGGTGACAAAGGCATCATATCCCTGAGACAAGAAAACATCTCAAAACAACGCAGGAAACGGAGCCAGTGTTTAGTGACGCAGGCACAGCGCTGGGCACTGTGGACGGCAGGGCACTGAAGCAAATCCGACTTCCAGGGCTGAAGATGGGCTCTCCCCAGAAGAGCCAGATGCCATGCACACTGCTGAGTACTAATTCAGCACCCCAATGGGGAACATCAACCTGGCCCTGCTCGCATGCTCTGGAGCGGTGGTCAAAGTTAGTAACTTTAGTGCCTCTTCTCAATCCAGCCTCTACGTAGCAGAGAGATCAGTGGGAGAAACAACGAGAAAAGCTCCTCAAGTGAGCATGCTGCAGAGACATGCACCCGTTTCCCTGAAACAGGAGGGAACAGACATGTAAGCCGGGAGGTTCCTGGTTAGTTCTAAGACTTCCCCAGCAGTAAGTGTTGTTAGAGAGTCTAAAGTGAATTAGTGTTGGAAGCTGTGAAATTTTCTTTGAAAGATAAAGTGAAGAAACAGACTGATTAAAAAGAACTAGATTCCTTTTCCTACCAAAGACAAGAATATGGATCTGGTCACCCTTTAAGTTTTCTTTCAGTTCCTGCCTTCTCAAAGTATACGCACAGTGAATGAGCAAAGATGAAATTGTAGCTTTTGCCTTAAGAGGCATTATGAGAGCCTACTCCTAGCTATACTCCGCACTCCAGAACTCCTCTATGTAGCTAGAAAGGGCCTCAGACCTGTAATCAGATCCTGCCTCCCCTTACCAAAAGAAGAAAGAAACCGCAAATGGCAAAGACAGGCCTCCACAGGAAGTGGCAAGGGAAGCAGCTTTCAGGCAGTCTTCTATCATATCTGCATATCAAACACAGTTCTTTTTCAGACCTTTAATTAAAAACCAAAACAAAAAAAAAACAAAAAAACAAAACAAAACTCCAAATATACATAAAAGTCAATTTTAACTATTTAGAGCGGGCGGTCGCCAACCTTTCGGACCTCACGGACCACCGGTTTGCGACCACTGATTTAGACGGCAGTGTGCTGAGGGCTGATGCTAATGGTATATGTTCTCCATTCTAAGTTTTGTGTAGATCATTTCTTTCTAATCAAGTAGTTATTTTATTCATGAAAGCAGTGAATGAATTTTACACTTTGGGTAATATGCACTTTTCCTGTTAAGTCTATGGAATCGGAAAGCAGAAAGCTGAATGAAATGCAGGTTGTCTCTCGTTTTTTGTTCTAAAATTTGCAGAGCTACACCTACTCTATTGTAGAAGGAAAATATGAAATCTTAATGAATCTTTAAATTTTCTCTCCATCAAGATCAGAAATTGAAACTGTGAGATAAAGGCAATATTAAAGATCCTTCTGAAGGAAGACCACATAACTTGAGCCAGGCTCTATTCCGATCGTCTTGGTGAGGCAATAGTTCAATACTAAAGCTACAAGTCGGACAGAGATGAGCATCTGCGTAGATAAATTGGCAATGTCCACTACATCTCATAATCCTCCTAGTGGCCAAATGGGGAACTGACCAGATGGTACCCAAAGGAACTTCACACCTGAGGGATTTTCAGGAAAAATTAAGCAAATACTCTCCCTCCCTCAAAAAAAAAAGAAAGCCTGTAGAGCAGCGGACTCTTGCAAATAAATAAATAAATGGCACTGAAAGTGCCTTCTTAACCACACAAGATCTCAGGGTTTTGTAGGCATTAAACGGTAATAAAATCCATAGACACGCTGGCCCTAAAGGTCACTCATTCAATTTTACTTTTAACACACTGCCTCAGTCCCCAAGCCCGAATCTGAAACCAACACAAAAAAAATGTAAACGGAGAACTTGCCTGAACATCACCATGTCCAAGAAAACCGGGATAGGAAGAAAGGTAAACTGGTGAGATTCAAATCTACAAGGGATTCTATGTAAAAAAGGAAGGCAGCTTTGTCTGTCTGTAGAACGAGGTTCAAAGTCCTTGGGAGGGGAGTGGGTGTGTGGGGGGGGGGGCAACGTCTCCCCTGAACACTGTCCCTGCTCTCCCACAAGTGTTAGGTTGCAGCTTCCAGGACACACCACGACTTGAGCAAAGAAAAAAACAAAACAAAACAAAAACGGGTGAAAGCCAAGCTTTAAGAAAAGAGGGGTGCACTCCCACCTCCAGCTCTGGTGCGGTTCCCACGGAGGAAAGTACACTCGTCTGAATCCCAGCGATCCGTATCTGCCAAAAAGGAGAGCACGAGAAAGCCGATCGCGTCGCCGCCTCACTTGGGTTCGGTGCGGGGCGTGTGCGCCATCCGCCGAGAGGGTCCCCCTGGCTTCTTGCAGTTCGGGCCGGGCGGACTCCCGGGAACCAGCCGCCGAAAGCCCGCAGACAGCACAGTCTTCGCCGCCGGCTAAATTTAGACGCCTTCCCGGGAGACGGCGACGCGGACCGATCCCCGGGTCTGCCCTCCCTCCCACGCCCATCCTCCCTCCCCCTGCG